ACATTCCTCTCCCTTCCTGCACACCATGAGTCTCTGGGTGGTTTATGCACACTTGGCTGAGGCTCAGCTCCCTGTGGTCCTCTCCATTCCTCAGCCTTGGGGCTCCAGCACATGCCCTGGGTTCTGGTTAACTTCTGCTCCACCAGCAACCTGGAAAACTTCTCCAGCAACGTCAGAAATCTCCAGCAGTTGATATTTATTAAGGCTTTTGCTGCCTGTAAGAAATGTAAAAGCCAATCCAAGTGATTGATAGGCTCAATCTGAATCGCTCCGTGTTTTCTCAGCCAGGCTGAGATTTGGCTTAATGAATGAAATCTGGAATTCTCTTCCCAGCAGCAGCACAGCTGACCGCAGCTTCTGGCTGGGCTGATAGCAGAGACAAAATAAAGGCTTAGCAGCACCCAGCCTGTGAGAGCCAGGTAGACATCTGCCATCTGAGCCCGTGCCTGTCTCGCAGTGGCCTCCGGGGACTTCTGGCCCTTCCCTTCCCAATGCCGGTCAGCTGAAGCCAGGTCAGCAGCAGCGAGGAGTTGTTTTGGGTTGAGATGTGGCACCACCTCTATCTCGACATACGTCTGCCCCTGCTTGTTTGGGAACAAACCATAACTCATGCCTTCAAAGCAAAGCCAAGCTGCCAAGTTTCGGCGCAGAGCCTCCTGTCCATTAAATCTGGAGAAGGTTCTGTGGCTGCTGCTACAACCCGTCCAAAGCTTTCTGATCGCAGCTGCCTGTCCCACAAATCTGCCACAGCTAACAGACCACCTCAGCCAATGCAGAACATGTGCACCACATCCATCTGTCAGAGGCATTTTGTGAGCCCTGTCAGAAAGTGCCCTGCAGCTCAGGACTTGCAGGGATGCATTGCCAAGGAGGTACCTTTCCAGCAAAACAGCCCCACACATTTCTCCTGCATGCAAACAGCCCGGGGTGGGGTAAAATGTGGGAGCAGAAGGCAACTTCGCGTGACAGCAAAGAGAGATGCTGAATCACAGGGCATCCCCTTTCAGTGCTGGGGAGTGGTGAGGAATTGCAGAGGCTGTGCTGGGTACACGGCAAATTTTCTGGCATGCTGCAAAGTTTCGACATGCTGGATTGTGCCTAGGCAGAATCCCTAGCTGGAAAGCAAGGCTGCAGAACCACTAGTTTTGAGGAGACTTGGAGTCATGTAATCCAGAAGAAAAATTGTCCAGCTGCATTTTCGAGACTAATATTGTATAGCACAGTAATTTGTAAGTGCTCATTTACTCAGCCAATGCCTGATCTGTTATTCCCATGGTTTTTCCTTAGGTAAATATACTTCCTTGCATTTTTGCACCTCAAATCAGTTCTCAAATTTGATTCTCCTGCTTCTACAAGAGAGGTTATAAAATGGATGCAAGTATCACCCCTGAGATGATGTTCCTCTACTGCTCAGGGCTGTAAGCTGGCATTTATGGGACAGTAGGTTATAGATTTTACATTGGGTAACTCAAGAGTGAGTTCTGGGAGGTGTCTCCATGCCTCTGCATAGGCAGTGACAACCAGTCCCATCTGTAGGTACCAGTACAGAGATATTCTGCAGGGTGAGGCTGCAGAGCCTTTGCAGAGAAGCTGTTACTGATAGCAGGTGGGATAAACAGGGCTGCAGGTGGGAGGAATAGGGCTCAGATTGGGGTGCTTTACTATAAATCACAGCAAGGGAGAGGTGAAGGCTTTTGTCTCTCTGCTCATCAGTGACTGTCCCTAGCCTCTATCCTCCCTTTGCAAAAATCCCTGGAGGTCCCAGGAGGAAACCATCCCAGGTAGGAGGTAGCTTGAGATTTTTCCCCAAAATAACAATTTATTTTTTTTTAATATATGAAATTGCTTATCAACTGATTAGAAAGCTTATAGTTGAAAATGATTCTTTTCTCCTAAAAATTTTTTTCAAAATGGAAACTGGGAGTGTTTAAACAAACACCCAAAAACCAGACAGAGTCTGGAAGCAGAGGCAGTATTTAGAGGAAGCTAGACATGCCTAATCATAGTGGTCCATTACGGTGTGACAGGAGAGATAAACATTTCCTGATCATCTCCGTTGTAGTGGGCCTTTTGAGCAGAGGCTGAGCACCACAGAACAACCTGCACGAAACAATGAGCTCATGGATCTGTCAGCACGGCCTCCACGTCCAACATCCGCGCATGTGTGCCTGTGTTGACAGCATGGTCCTGTTCTTGGAGCCCTTTGGAGACAGGTCTGACACACGCAGAACCACCAACCTCAGGTAAACTTCGAAATTTGCTCTCAGGCTGCATGAGCAGTTGTAGTGCTAGGGCTGGAAGGCTGCGTGCCCCTCTCTGGGATCGGGGCTCAGACTGTTTGTAAGGTTTTCTGCTACTTAGTCCTAGGTTTTGGGGTTCGTGCCTGCCTTGTGAGATTTGTTTAGGAATATTGCCACCTCGACAGTGCTTGTGGTAGCCTTGTTTGCATCAAAACCAGGGCAACTGGCAGCATCTATTGCATGCCCTGAATCACATGTATAGGGAAAGCTGTAGACTGTGCTGTCCTGTTGCAAACACCTGAATGTCAGTGGTGGAAGCACATGAAAGCCAATCCCTCCTAATAACATAAAAACTTCTGCAGCAACATAGCATTGCAATGGGCAATTTCAGCAGAAGGGCTGCCTTCTCTTGTCTAAAGATCTGAATAAAAACATGGCAGTCAGTCTGCTGTGCTCCATGAGCACAAATAAGAGCAAAATGCAAGGATGCACCCAGCTGGGCTGGCTGTGCCTTTACATGTGGACACTGTGAGGCCTTGGAGTGTATTCCCCAGCCTCCAGGAGACCAAGTGGGGATGTCACATTGCTCTTCTCACCTGCCCTGGAGACACGGCCAGGCCAGCCTCAGGCCTCTGTCAGAAGTTAGGTTAAATATCTCCTCTCTGGGCTGGAATGGGGCCAGAAGGCTGTGATCCAGGGCATGGGCTCAGCTGCTGGCCATCCCTGGGGGCAGGAGCACGCTGCAGGGAGTTCTGGTAAGCAAGCACAGCATCTCGGGATGTGCTGAGCATAAGAATTTTAATTTGCATTATTAAAATGTTTTGCATGACATTTAATGCTGTGGACGTAGTGTGGTAAATAGCCTTATAATTTATGCCCAAATATTACTTGGCTCATGGGTTTCTCAGAGACAAACAGGACTGATAGGGACACAATGCCATTCCTTCTCCTTGTTCCTCCCACCATCTGCTTGCAGTATTTGTCTGAACACATAAAAACCCCACTAATGTCCGTAAGAACTGGCCCATCTCGTCAAGTTAAATATGAACAATGTCAGAACAATTACAAAGGAACTGGGCAAAAATTGCTTAAACATATAGCACTCATCATTAATAGCTAGTTATTGGCACAACTGATGTATATTACTATCACATACTGCACTGATCCAGTACATAAATGTTTTCTTTAGCATATTTTTAATGTTGCTAATTTATCTGTTACTGTCACACTGGGGCTGTTAGCTTTGAACAAATGACTGTTATTAATCACTGGAGAGCTATTAGACGCCACTGCCGTGGTGTTAAATCAACTCAGGAGTGGCACTTGTAGGAATATTCAAACAGAAATTTAAAATTGCCTGGGTACGAGTGGTGTGGTTAACGCCTCTGGGATCAGAGCCATCGAGTGCCTGCAAATACTGCTCCTGTGTGTCCAACTCACCTGGTGGAAATTCCTTTCTCTAAAGAGTGATTGCAGCTTAAGGCCTTATTTATTATAAAGTTATTTTGGTTAAAAACAAAGATTGCAGCTGTTAGCATTCAGCACCCTGTTGTTAACACTCTGGGCATGCTTTTCTCTTGATAAGTTTAGTGCCTTGTCAGCAGCAATGACTTCAGTTTCCCCACATCGCCCTATTAACCTGCTGATGCTGGGGGAATCCAAGAACTCATCTCATGGACAGCAGGGTTAGTTCTTCATGAAGGTCACCATTTTCCTAGGAGGCTGAGCCACTCTCCACATCTTTCTTGGGCACAGAAGATACCTCAGATGTTTGCAGACCCTGAGGAGCAAAACCATCAGTGCAGGCTGGGCTGCAGGAGGACTTGGTTGAAGTTCTCACTGGGGGTCACTGAGCTACAGCACGAAGCTGCTATCAAACCCAGACGTGTCCCTTCCAGTCTCCTGCTGTTACCAGTGCCCCATGTGAGTGGGACACAACAGTTTGCCCAGCCCCTTGCTGCTGGCACCAAATAGCAGTGGATTAGGTTAGATCTCCTCACCCAGCAGCCTGCAGAGCATCGGTGTGGTCCAGCTGCTTCCCAGGGCTGAATGGGAGACGAAGGAAAGGTGGAGCGGAATGAAAGCAATCAGACCTCAGTGAGAGCTCTTCTAAAGGGGAGATGTTTCACACAACACACTTGGGGGCTCAGTGAGCTTGTATTTTCCAGCTAGGCTCTGATTCACGAGACCTGCTGAACTCTCAGGACCATTAAATGTAAAGCCTTGCTGGGGGCTGTAACAGGGCTGCCGAAAAGCAGCTGTGGGAGGGAGATTGCTGGTGGTCACAGATGATGCTCCACAAGTGTTTTCTTGAATGAAAAGAAATGTAATTTGGAACATGTTTATTGATGTTCTGGAAGGCTGCTGCAATTTGTTTCCTCTCCTTTATGTAAGCTGAGCATTGGGAAGCGGGCATCTCAGCAGCAGAGGGGCCTCTTTGCTGGCCTTGTGGCTGGCTTCTGAGGGAAAACTTGTGAAGGATTTTGGATCCAAGGAAAAGGTGTTATCTTGGATTTTGTAGGTTGTCAGTACAAACCCACTACCTTCACAGCTTTCCCTGGCTTGTGATGACCACTTACATGCAGCTCCTCAGAGTGTGGGAGTAACAGGGGAGTTACCCAGAGAAATACCACAAATGGCTTGTAATTAATAGTGGTTAGATGTTTGTAATGGATGCATAATGCACCGATCACAAGGGGCTGCTGCTGAACTGACTGGGATTTTTTTAATTTTTTTTTTATTTTTTTCATTTGTTACAGTCTCTTCCATGACTTCAGTGGCCTGGGTGAGCAGGTGCCTCAGAAGGCAAGCAGCAGCTGACAGGCACTTTTCTGAGCTGCCAAACTTGCAGGAGAAACCCCCAAAACAGCCAAACCGGCAGGAGAAACCACTTCAGATAATGGTGAGCCATCTGAGCAGGGCTGTGTGCTGTGGCTTTATCTTGCTGCTGACTTCTGCATAGTGGCCTGGTGCTCGTTGTCACTGATCAGGGACATTGTTTCAGGGATCTTGTGTTTGGAATAAAAGTAATCTGAAGACTTCTGCACAGACCCACTGTGCAAAGCCTGCAGGGCCTTAGCAGACCATAGGCATGGCCCAGGCTGACCTTCTGTGTAATTCAGGCCCAAAATCCCCACTATTTGTGAGCCTGCTCATGCAGGACAGCTAAGAGATGTCAACAATTTGCACTTGCTCCCTGATGGTTTTGTTTAACTTCTAGTTAACAGCTACCAAAACTTGCTGTAACTTCACCTGTTGATGTCACAGCCTCTCCTGGAGGTTTTGTAATCAAATCACCTCTCAGCCTTTCCTTGAATGAGCTCGGTAATAGAGCATCCTGAACCTCTTGTTGGTCCTTTGGCTCCTGCTTCACATCACAGAGCTTCCCACACTGGACAGCTGACCAGCAAATCTCCATGTGGCTGAGCATTTAATGGAATGAATACCCCCAAACACTGCAGTCTTTCACTAAACAAGGTCCCCTGAGGTTTCGTGGCCACCAAAACCTCCTCCAGGCTGCTGTACCAGCGTGCTGCAGCCTTGGTCTCATGGTGGGCGACGAGCAGGGGACTGTCCCCTCTGTTCCCCTCAGAAGAGGAGGGTGATTTCTTTATTTAAAAAGAAAAGGGGGGGGGAAGGAGGGTGGACAGATGGGAGGGATGAACTGAGCCCATGGGCTCTGATACAGAGCTCAGGGCTCCTCTGGGACCAACTGCTCCATAGCACCATTGTATTTGCAAGCAACATTGACATTTGTGAACTTTGCTGGTGGGTGCTTCAATTCTTTCTCTCTTTAGGGCCCTGTTTCTCGCACCTTGCGCTTAAGGTGCCAAAGTAATCTCTTCTGGCTGATGAGATGCAAAGTTGCAGGCAGGTAGAATACAGACAAAACAGATTAACTGCCTCATTCCTTTACACCGAGCTCCTTTCTGGCGTGTAATGGAAACCTAAAGCCTGCCTTTCTTTTAACTCTGTTCTAAACAGTAGCTGCTATAAAGTATTAGGTTGGAATATGAACTCTGTATGAAAGATGAAGGGGGAATGATGTATTTTAAAAAGGATCTTAGTAGGTCCTAACTTAAAAGCATCAGTATAAATTCATTGCAAGTAATATGCTCTTAATTATTCATTTTCCTTGGCACTGGTTAAAGAGCCAAGTAACGGCTTCTGTCTCTTTATATTTAGTCTATTATTGTTTGAAAAAGGCCAGGGGGAGGCCAGCCCTGCACAGAAATGATATTCCCCCTTATATATACACACATACATATTACCAGCAGCCATAGTAAAGGGGAATATAATCACCAGCAGCTGAGAGACAATGACATTTTTATAGACCTCCTGGCAAATCTGCAGCGGGAGAGAGCCTGACAAGTCCTTGGCTTCCCACCACATTCCTGTGCTGGGTCGGTGCAGGAACTGGGGCGAGCTCCAAGGTGCTTTCCTCCTGGGAACTGGCTCATGACGGCCAAACTGCAGCTGCCTGCTCAGACCCCCCTGCTGGCCCTGGAGAAGACTGGAGTGGACCTGCAGGAGCAGGTCTTGCTGCTGACATGCTCACACACGGCTGATTTTAGTGAGCTGGTTGATCCGGGTGAACGTGGGGATGCTGCTGAGCTTGTCTGGAGGTGGCAAGAAGTCACTGTCTGCCCCTGTAGAGCAGACGGCCCCAAAAGCCGCCTTGGTGGTCTCCATCAGCTGAATGTGGTCCTGTCCTTTGGCAAGTGACAGTTTCTTCTGACTCCATGGTGAGACCATGGCCAAAGTGCTTTGCTGGATAGGGCCATGGATGGGAATTGCTGGTCAGTGACATTCAACAAACTGTTCTTTAACTGAGACAATCTTTAAGGGGAGGGCTGTTGGTTTTGAAAAGCTTTTGAGCTATTTTTTCCTTGAAAAAAGTTCAACCCCCCTGGGGCTGAACACCTGGGGCACCTCCTGGGACTTGGGGGGGTAAATTCAGTGTTCTCCTTCACCTGGTTGCACCTGTGGGCTTGGTCCTGGACCTCTCAACACAGCCATACAATTGCTTGCTTGTAGAACTGGCCCCTATTTCTTACATTCTGGTGGCATTTCATGCACTGTTGATATGATGCACTGGTACTTTAATTAGGCCAGACAGCAGCAGAATTGGCAGTTTCATCACTGCACTGAAAACCAGCAAACCAGCCTCATCCCTTCAGCCAGCCTCTGCTGGCAGTGGGGGAAGGTTTTTGCTGGGTACAACCCCAAAAATGCACATCCACAGCTGGTGGCATGTCATTACTGAGAAAGCCTCTTCTGTCCTGTTTTTTGCTGTAACCAAAGTCCTGTTGCACGTATATTTGTCTACTCATATGCCCCTGGGTGTGTGAGAAGGGTCTGCTCCATGCTAGCTCCTGTCCATTGTAAATAATATTAAAGCCTTTGCTGTCTAAAGGCAACCCAGCTTGATTCAGAATAAATGGGATGAAGACAATTTCTGGGGGGAAAACTGTTGATCAGTTGTAAATAAAATCAGTTGAGTTTTTGCCTAAACATCAGACTGAATGTTCCTGGCCTTTGGCAGCCAATAAGTAAGCATTTCAGGCGTTTTTTTTGTTTGGTTGTTTTTTGGTAATCCAAATAGAAGAGAATTAGCTGCTTCATCAAAATAAATAGGTTTTACTGGTGCTTTTTTTTTCTTTGATTGGTAGACATCTCATTTTTCAGTTGTCATGGTCCTGCAAGCCTTTGAACTTTGATAGAAAACACTCAAAATATAGTTGGGATGAGTGTTTCCATTGGGGCAGATTAGTCTGTTTTAAAAACATCTTGAATCAAAAATTTTGTCTGTCTCCAGCTGATGGAGCTGGCACAGAGTTTCTCATCATTGTTGCTTGAAATGCTGACTTCTCTCAGGTTTACTCAATCCCATGGCTTTATCCTGAAAACAGCTTGTATACCTCAGGCAGCTGAGGTTGTGTTTAAATCTCCCCTGAAAACAGGCGAGTTTGGCCACTTCCAAGGTTGTTTTTTTTCTTTTTCTTTTTTTTTTTTTTTTTTTTTTCCCCTGGAGCCTGAGCTGCAGCCCTCAGAGGTGGTGCCAAGCAGTTTAACACTGGCACTGTTTTTTCCAGCCAGCGCGTGGGAAGGCTGCGGCAGTTACTACTCACACTTAATATTTAGTGTGGACAGAGTCCTGGTGTCTGACAGCTCTGTTTACCCACTGCAGAATTCAAGGGAAGATGTGAGAGCAACACCTTCGGGCCCCTGCACGATGGTGCTCTGCACAAAGCCCCCCAGGAATGGACCAGCACAAGGAGTCCCAACCTTGCAGAGATGCCAGCCCAGAAGGGCAGTGTCCATGTGAGCCTCTTTCCCCCTCTCTAGGTGAGGACCCCCTTGGTATCTCCCCCCAGCTCCATGCTCTCGCTGCAGTCCTTTCCTTTGGTGACCTCTTATCCTGAACTACTCCTTTTTCTCCTAACAATTTTTGACTTTTATTCAATGTCTTTTCTTGTCCTCTTCCATTTGCACCTTGTGCATGCAAGGAGACCTGCTCATGGGGAAATAATGACCCCAGCATGTGAAACTTCAGCAAGCAGAGGTCCAGAAACTACTCTGGCCTCCATTTGTTTGAATTTTCCCTCAGTTTTCATTAAAATCAGTGAGCATTTGTCCAAGGAGATCTAGATCGTTCTTTGAAGCATCATGATTTTATGAATATATTCCTCCTACTTTGGACTGAAACATGTGATGAGTGCAAGAATAGTTTTTAGCATATCAAAGACACGTTTCTGCTGGAATTAGCTCTTTTTTCAAAGTAATAATGTAGGAGAAATTGTAATTATTATTATTATTTCTACCTTTGGTAACTGCAAACTAACTGGAATGCGATTCCTTTAGCACAGCAAAATGCAAAGCAAATTTAAGCGTGCCCTCCCCTCTGGGAACTGCTTTCCCTCTGCTCTGCCCCCCCAGTGCTTTAGCATCAGAAAGCTGAGGAAACGCAGTTTCACCAAAGTGAGTAACAAAAAGAGCTTTTCTTATTTGGGGTTTTGCTGCGAGTTGTCAAAGTTGTATTTATAACTTGTCTTATTCCTGCTCTTACCATGGGACAGATCGGAGGAATGGTTTTTCATTTCTGCAGCTTGTGCAGAACTAATCTGAGGGGGTGACTGCTGCTGACACGTTTTGATTTGCTGCTAGGAAACTCAAACTGAAGTGTGTGTTTGGATCATTTTCACACTAAATCTCATCTAGCTGGTGTGCTGTGGACCATCGTACTGATTGCTCTAGTGATGAACATGGAGTTTGTGAGTTCAGGTTCAGGAGGAACCCTTCCAAACTCCTTCCTTTCCATGTCATTCCCAAAGTCCTCCTAAGTGTTCTCACTGGAAAAGGTGAGTGGGAATCACCTTGAGGAGAAAAATGGTAATTTCAGCTATTAAGTGTAATGTTGGATGAAATCAAGTAATTTATCCTGATGCAGAGCCGTCACCAAGCCTGTCCTCAGTGTGTCGGCGTGGTGAGGTGTCCAGTCCCATGAGCTGGTGAAGGCAGAGGGAGCCTGAGCACAGAGCAGCGGTGGCAGCAGAGTGTGGTGCAACAGGGAAAACATTGAGGTCCAGGAGGAATGGTGTGGAAAACTTGGTACTTCCAGAGATGTTTTATATTGCAAAAGTGGGATGGAGTCCCGCAGGTAACAGTGCAATAAAGATGAATTGAGATGAAAGGAACAGAGGCCAGCTGAAATGCGCATAATACAGATCTGTAGAAATGAGCCTACATATATATATAATTTATAGGGAATAAATTCCTTTCTGTATCTGCATGGTTTCTGAACGCTGTTTTATAGGATTCTCTAGCAGAAATGTAATTCTCTTCTTTCCCCCATTCTTTGGGTTGCCCTAATCCTTGTGCTGGTGGTTATTCCCTAGAAGTTCTTTTTTCAAAGGAGTTAGAAAATTTCTTTGGGGCCTTTTTAATAAAGTGCAATTGGCATTTCATAACTCACAGTCTTTCATAAGTTACAAAATGAAAGCATCTAAGAAATGCACCATTAGTAAGGCTAGTAGGAAAGTGGAATTTTATCTTAAATCCATCTGTAAATCCTCTGTATTTATCATTTATTTCTGCCTTTGGCATGTACTACGGTCAGTGTCCTGCTTTTTTCCATCCACAGCGCACCTTTTACACAGCAGCGACGGGGTTCTGCTCCGTCTGGCTGGGTGGATAATGGCCATATTCACCAGTGCATTTTTCCAGCAGATCTGACAGCTAATCTAAGGAATGACGCTGCAGTAAGAGTCTTCAGATAAATGGAAAGAAAGAAAAAGAGAACAGGAAACCTCACCGAGCCCAGGGGAGCCCCCACTGCCTGGTTTTCTCCAGGAGGCGCAGAGCAGATCAGGGTGTTGGTCCTGAAACCCAGCACGCTGGGAAGGAACAAAGCCTTAATTATAACCTGAGCATGATGCCTGGTTACACCAGGGTATGTTATTTTTAATCGTTAGGGCTCCAAGGGTTTGAGAACTTGGTCTTAGTCACTGAGATTTTCAGTGGTTTGGGGGCAACCTCGGAGATCCCAGCATGCATGGGGTTGGGAAGGAGCATGGCCAAGGTGCAGCCTCATCCCTGGGGTGTCCACCCAACAATGTAAACATTCCTCTGTGTGGACATCTAGTAAAACAAAACAAAACCTTGCCCAACACCACAGGGGGGTGATGTGAGTTGTGTTGAACTGAAGGCTGGAAGGTGCTCAGCATCCCGGGCAGTGCAGGTGATAACCAGTGCAACGTGCAGACACAATTCAGCTCCGGAGAGGAATAAGATCTTACCGTGGCCTCTCCACAACAGAAGAAGGCACCAGCAATTTTACATCCACGTGCAGACCTGATCTGCAAGATGCCAAATATTTTAATGCAGCTTATGGAGTCCCATGGATGCCTCCTTTTTTCCTTCTTCCCTCCAGCTTCTGCTGGGTGCATGGTGAGGAACAGAGCTTCTGGAAACACGAGCCACAGACCTCAGCCACATTGAAGAATGTATGAACATGGCAGCTCCTGGTGCTTCCCAGGGTGCGGATGAAAGCATCTTCAGAGGGAACAGAGAATTTGTGATGTCAGCCCATAAATCTCCTGTCTCTTTTCCATCTTCACTTGAACGCAGAGAATCAGTTTCCGATAACATCTCCAAATTGCCGGGAGCAATTTTGCAGCTTGTGTTAATTGCAATCTTCTGTTGAATGCCTCTGAGCTCTTAATAACTTTGTAATTAAAGTGCAATTAACAAATTAACTTGTATATATCAAATGGAATGCTAATGTTGTTGTTAATGAGGAGATAATTAGCTGGTGTCATGGAGAGACTCATGGGGCATCTTCAAGATGCAGAACCCTTTTGGCTCACATACGAGGTTAATGGAGTTTGCTGTGAATGAATGAATGAGCGAATTGTCCTTCGATGACATGCAGTGGAGCAGTCATAGATAGCCAGGTAACTGATTATTCTACGGCCAGAAAAGAGGGTTCTCATTCAGTCATTTTCTAGGCAGTTGGCCAGTGCTTTACAAAGGTTTTCCGTAGCACGACTGGAACATGCATTCAAAGGCATGGCCAGGCTTTGAGAGGGGCTTAGCAGGTGGTGAAACCACTCAGCACCATCCAGGCCCGGAGACGAGGTACCTGCTCCCAAAAAGCCCCGTGCAGGTTGTGCATGCTTCACTCCAGCAATGCTGGAAGAGATGCAAACCCTGCAGCACCTCTGTGGGACACGTGTCCCCTTCCAGCTTTGGGGCTGTAATGTGGCAGTCCAGCAAAAGTGTCTTTATTTGTCAAAATAGACTCCAGGAGTCAATCTCTAATGGAGTTTAAGTGTGGGTTGTTTCCTTATAGTCCTGGGAGAACACAGACAAACTTAGGCAGAAAAAGGTATGAAATCAGAGGAGGCACAGAGCTGCTCCATCAGACTTCCTGACTCACTGGGAGGAAATCTGGCCTGGTTTAGGGTTAAGGGGAACAGCAAGGGAGCTGAGGGGGGCATAGGAGACATCTGTGGCTTATATGATATGACCTTAATGTCCCAGATAGCACACACACGTGCCTGGGAGAAGCATGTTGCTTTTATGACTTTTGATCTGGGATATGAAATTTGCTATTATTGGTTGAAGCCTAAGATCTGGACACATGGGTATGTGTGAGGGTGGAGGTGCAGGCTGCAGTCGGATGCTCCTAAAAAGAATCAGCAAAGAGAGGTGAAGCCCTTGTTTCCTGGTGTTTGGCGTTTTCCCTTTTTCTCTCTCTCTCTTTTTTTTTTTTTTCTTCCTTTACTCCTTTCAGGTTACCCTCCACTTGGCAAGACCATTGCTCTTCCCCAGCACCCCCAGCCCTCAAGCAGCACCACCGTTAGCTGTGGGATGCCCTGTTGAAGGGTTTGCTTCAAGAATAAGGGTTAAGCTTGCCTGGCTTCTGGTTTGCAGGGTGGAACTGCTTTGCTGGGATGGGCACACTGCAACAGCCTCCCTGCAGTTCAGCTCTCCAGCACGGATGCGGTCTGGGAACAGGAGACCTCATTCCCAAGGAATTTGCTGCTGTTATTTGGCCTTAATTTTCCTTTGCTCAATTTCATCTCATTACGCAGTTACACCCTGCCGGGCCATGTGGCAGCACTCTAACAGGTATTTAAAATGTTCCAGAGCGAGCCAATTGGTGCGTTTAAAATCCATTCCATACCATGACATAATATATTTTCAGTACGCTCAAATTTGTCAAGTTAGATTGGGACTGAAGAGACACGGACCAATTGCACAGCAATTTCTGCTCGCAGTCAGATGGGTGCTGTGCCCACCATGTGTGTCCTGTGCCTGCAGGGCTGGCTGTCCCCTGCGTGCTTGGGACCCATCAGTGCAGAGCCACGGCTCCCAGAGCTCCCCTGGCCATCACACATCTCTGCCAAAAGGCGTGAAGCTGGGGCTGCAGCTCCAGCAGCCTTTTGATCTTGTTTGCACAGTTGCTGACATGGCAATGCGATGGTTTAAACGCTTTAGGTGTCATCCCGGTGTTAAGATTAAATGTCATTGATAATACTCCGAGTGCTGCCTTTTTTATTTCCTCTTTTCTTTGGCTCTGTATTTATAAGGCAACAACCGAGTGCTGAGCAGTACTGGGAGAAAGAATTGTGGTGCCACACTGGGGAGGTGGCAAGAGGAGGGGAGCCGCAGGCTGGCAGCACCGTGCCTTTCCCAGGCGCTTGCAGCCTCAGTGGGGATCAGGCAGCAGCACATACCCGAGCTTGGTCAAGGACCCTAAATGGATCCCAACTCCATTAACAGCAGCTGGGAGCTGCTCTTGGGGTTTGCTCACTGTTCAACCACTGCCTTTCATCCTCCCTTGCTTCACCCAGCCCCCCAGGGCAGCTGTACGAGGGATGTGGAAGTATAACATGGAAATATGACCAAAATTTGATGTTTTCCTCTCAAAGCTGGGACAAGGACCTGGAGGTGGGGGTGCAGTTCCTCTTCCTGAAGCAGAGGCCCCGATTTCTGCTCCAGGGCCAAGCTGCAGCCCAGGCAGGCATCGCCCAGCCCTCGACCTGCTCAGCAGCAGCCTGGGCCCTGGGGACATCAGTGGCAGCAGGACCAGCCACGTCTCCCTGCACCCACCTCCCCAGGCCCTTCTTGCTTGTGATGAAATCCACCGTCCTACACAGTTAAACTGGTTTCCAGCTTCACTGAAGAGCAGAAGGCCCTTCCTGCATCCCAGCTGCCTAAAATGATGTGACTTGATTGGGAAAAGCTCGCAGCTGCTGCAGCCCAGAAGGGAAGAGGCATCAGTGCGGTGATGCTGCCCCACAGCTCTGCTTGTAGCAATATGACTTTCAGACATCTTTAAATCATTTTTCTTTAGAAAACGAAGCATGACTTCACATATCACACAGGCAAATAAGCAGTTTCTGGGCAAGAAAGAGACTGCTTGTGATCTGAAGGCTTGTCTCAATCTCAATGACTTTGCATTAATTATGTGCCCCATGCTTTCCTGAGTGGTGATGCTTTCCTGAAACATGGTCTTAGGTTAGCCATAATATCCTGCAGATAAACATTTTCCCCCCTCCTTGTATCTACAAAGAGTGGTAGCTTTGGACTACATATTTATAGACAGACCCTGAGCTATAAATTGGACATTTCTGCCGTACGCGTTCCCTTAAGGGCCAATAAGACTACACACATCAGCTAAGTAATATTTTACTAGGACTTTCTTTAATGACTTCAAGAGTGCTTGTTCGTTCCCCCAACCAGCAGAGCATGAATAACGTAAGTCTACAATTAATCCTGAATTACTCATACAGTGGACTCCATTTTCCTTTGCATTCAGGACAAGTTTTAAAAAGTTATTGCTTTCCCCCTCCTTTCTCTCTCTCTTTTTTTAAAGACTTCTTTAATCAGACCAAATGGAGCTTAAAAGTACTGGAAATGTCTGGTTTTCTTTCATTCTCAGCCTGTTCAAAATCAAGCTAATGACAAGGGACAAGAAAACTGCTTTGCATTTGCTAGCTGAGAAAAAGGACGCGAGGCGGAGGGACTCCTCTGCACAGTGCTGGTGTTTGCACACGGGTGGGAATCTGGGGGCAACTCTGCTGCATCCCCGCGAGAAGGCGGAGGTGGTTACTTTACACATTAAACCTATGATTTGTGACCTGCCCAAGAGTGATGATTTTAGGGCAAGTTTAAAAAGTCCAGAGAGCTGGGCTGAGGCTCGAGGCAAGTCCTGAACATGACGGGCTTGACCCCAGACCTGGCTAATGGTGAGGACCCCAATCCAGCCAGGTGCTAATGAATGGCAGCTCCCCCGAGACCCAGAGCCAGGCTGGGACAGCCCAAAGCTGGGGCTTAATCACTTCCAGATGTGCTTGGGGCTGCCTGCTCCCTCTCCACAGCCTGGTACTAAATGTTTGATCTACTAATCACCAGCAAACATGGGAAACACCTGAAATGTCCTTATGCAGTCAGCCCCCAGCACTTGTTGCAGGTAACTGCACAGCCTTCAGCATTCGTTCTTGCAAGTGAAGCCACCTGAGGGGGCAAGGCTGCTATGGAGCAGCTGCAGGCTACCTACCACTGCCTGTGGGACATGGGAACCATGGTGAAATGCTCCCGCTTTAGGGCATCCTGGGTCCTTTTTCAGTTTGGTTGAGAAGAAGGTGGTAGCAGCTTTTTAGACCTGCTAGAGAGAGAAGAACTGATTCCTGTTTCCCACTGAGTGAGGTAATTCCTTTACTTTTTCTTCTTTCTCCCAAGAATTTGAAAGGATTCACATTTAGCAGAAAATGCTCGGTTTATGAATGTACGTTTATGGGGGTGGGTTATGAAGCACAGAGAGAGACTCTAATACTACTGTTGAATTTGTTAAATGCATTTTTAAAGGCAGGGTAAATAGATGTGGTGCTGAAAAGCTGGCAGGGACTGAAAAATCAAAACAGCTTATTTTGAAAGTGTTAAAAAAAAAGGATCCTGTATTTATTTATTTGTATTGAAACAATTTGATGTAGAAGCTGTCACCCAGCTCTGTGTGCAGTTGCCTTGTACACGGGGCAGTGGTGGCTGTGTTTCCAACCTGGGTGATGGGGTGAGGACACACACACACCCTGCAGGGATGTTGGTCCCAGAACCTGTGAAAGCAAGGCCCTGCTCTGAGGAATGTGCTCGAACCCAGTCCCATGGGGAGCTGGCAGGGCTCTGCATGCCGACGCCGGCCGTTCGCACCGCACTCCGTATATCTGCCTTAGCTCAAACCTCCCCGCCGTGCAGCCAGCTAATCCTCTGGGAAGCATGCAGGGCTCAGCTCCTCCGCGTGTTGTTTTTTTATTTTTTTTATTTTTTTTTCTGTTTAGTCTAGACTATGAGACTCAGTGGCGCGGCGACTTCGTGGGTTGGTGATGGATTTACTGGGGGTGGGATGTGGTGAACAGGGGGTATTTATGCACGTGTGCTGATGCACCCACGCCCCCTGTGAGCGTGTTTCGGGCATGGTTGCCGAACCCTCTGCGGATTGCTGGCTTCCCTTCATTGCCCTCCTGCCTGCAAAGACCTGAAATATCTTTTTTTTTTTTTTTTTTTTGTGGGAGGTTGGGACAGTGGGCAAAGTAAAAGTATTTTAAAGTAAATTGTTTTTCTGTCCTTTGGGAGTTGGAGGGAAGTGAGTATGAGAGAATCTTTCTGGGAGACCTTCACCCAGCATTGTGCAGCAGCAGGGCTTGAAGAGTCCAAGGTCACAGACCCACCGACGTACCTTTCTGCCCTCTACAAAATGTATGCTGTGTTCCTCACCTGAGAGGTGGGCTCTGGATAGTGAGAGCTCCTTTTCTCAGCTGATGAACTGCAAAGGCAAAGAAGTAGCACTTGCACTGTCTTGGCTTTATGTTTCCGCCCACATCACTATTAAGACAGCGAAGAGTCCAATGTCACAGACAAGCAAGACGTTTCTAGTTGTGTTCTTATTCCTCAGCAGAAGGTTGTGGGGAGGGTGGTATTAGTTGGCTTTCAGTTGACTAAAAAAAACTACCTGAGGCATCAGGATCCCATTGAGGCATCTCGTGAAATCCCTTACATTTCACCATGTTGTGGGAACTCCAACTCAACATCATGCCTGTAGCTCTTCTGTGCTATGCCCATCTTCTTCCCAGCCCTTGGCTTTCCTTGCTCCCTGTCCATCACCTTTCAGACCATTTGGCACAAACCTAGTTGGCCTTCTTGCAGGGGATGGCTCTTCCCTTTCTCATGTCCTGACTCTCACGTGCCAACCTATGGCATGTGCTTCACCCTGAGGCTGCCTTGCTCAGGTGACATTGACCCATGAACATGTCAGCAATGAAATGGCTGCTCATCACCCCCTTTAACGTTCACCCCAAAGCTGTCCAGTCTGTTCACCAGACCCAAATCACAGTGAATAACGTAGAGGTAAGAAAAAATGTCTCTTATTACCAAGGTCCGCAAACCTCCAGTAATTCAGGGGATGGAGTTCATAGCATACGGTACTTGTGTGGTGGTGTCCCCCCACTCGTCGCCACCAATCCATTCATTTAGTCTGGGCGTTCCTTGTTGAAATGCACATAAACTGAATAAATTTATATCTTGACAAGAATAACATCCAGCATCCGCTGCTCTTCCTGAACTACATCCAGATTGCCCAGCGAGCATTTAGTTGGACCAGCAATTATTCCTGCCTTCATTTAAAATAGATTTTTCTGCTTCCATAAAAGACTTTACAATGTAAACATCTCCCCTCCCTAAGGTATTAGGCTTTCTTTGTCTTTATTTTCTTTTCACATCCAGTCCATTCCCTGTTGACTTTCAGGTTTAGCACTTTATGTTCTGCAGCCACTTTGTTCTGTGGAGCCTTTGTTGTTCCCTGTTCTTCCTCCAGGCAATCCCTTGCTTTATTTATAGGGCATCGCCTGTACACTGCACACCCACACTGCTTCCTGCTCGCAGGCATGTACTGCAGAAGGGACCTTCTAAGGTACAGCAATTATTCTGTCATGCATAGCTCCCCTTTTGCCACCCTGGAGCTGTTACAGCCCCATCAGAAAATAAAAAATCAATAACTAGAAAGGAAAAGTCTGCAGTGTTTTCTAAAAAATAAAATATTCTTATGGGAGGTGAGGATGGAAACACATGTTCCTCCTTTTCCCCTCCTGAATGAGAGCAGGAGTGGAAAGTACTAGCCCACAGCTATCCTGGCAAAACTGGGTAGCACAGTGCATTTTATTTTTTTTTAAGTCTCGTTCTTGATTGGCCTGAAGGTGAGGCTGCTCCTGATGTACTCCTGCTTACATAGGTGTACAATCAGGTGTTTTATCTCTCCTCCAGCAGGGGAAAAGCCCTTGTAGTGTCATGGGAAGGGCAGAATAAAGTCACTCGTGTCTCTCCTTGTAATTGCTGGATCCATGGCCATCTCATCCCAGGGTGTCTTCTGCTGTTCTATGTCCAGTCCCCATTCCCAGGTAGGTTCCCTCCATGTGTGCACCAACACAGATTTCAGTGGCACTTCCCTGATTTATGGGCTGCATGAGGCTGAGTTGAATTTTTAAGCATTGCCATTTAACATAACTATGGCCTTCATCCTGCTGAAGCCCATGTTCCCCCACAAATCCACTGATGCTTCTAAAGATATTTTGATCCAAATAACACAAAAATCTCTAAGGGTGCTGCATGTTGCCCTGATCCTTGAGGCTTGTTGGCGCAAGCTGCCTCTTACTTGAATGCTTGCTACCCACTGACCTTCCAAGGAGGCTGGGACCTTTTTGGACCTGCAGAGGCCACATCTCAGCAACACGGGGGAAACAGTGGATCTTCTAGTTGAATTGCTAGCTTCTATTCAGTGTGCCTGGTAAGCCACTAAATTTTGTTTGAATTCAATCTTTCTGGCCCTTCTCTTCCTACGAACAACCTACAGTATAGACATAGCAACAGTGGGTAGAAATAAGTGACAAATCAGCTCCTTCATAGTGGGTGCTCGCTTCTTTGTTTTTTAAAGGAAATCTCAAAATTAAGTCTTTGAAAATGTGTCCAGCTGAGTTCTAACTTAAGAACAATTGAGAAAGAATCTGTCAAAACCCCCAATTTTAGAAATGGATTTAGGGAGCTCTGGGACCTGTCCCTCAGTGCCTGGCTCATTTGGAGGTAGCTCTCCTGGTTGCTTGCCCAAGTTTGCCCATCCCTGACACGGAAGTGTTGAGGGCCCTGGGTCATTATGAAATGATAATCGCAGTTTAGGGTAAGCAATACTTCAGGTGTCACCAGAGCAGCTAGGATTGGTCAAACCCTGTACCTAAGGATTATCCAAATTCATGAGCACAGGCAGCCCTTGCAGGCTGCAGCACGTTTTGGCTCTGTGCAGATTTTCAGGACCAGCCCTTTGTCTCCCAGCACTGGCAGCCCCCAGCCCCACATGCAGCTTCCCCATCACCCAACCCTGCTTCTCACATCCTGAGTTCATCAGTTTAAATCGCATCTTGGTGTAAATTGATTTCATTCCAGCCTCTGCTTCCACCTCTGCCTTGCCTTTAAATTGTATCTAGTCTTAAATCAATCTTATTCCAGCCCTCAGCTGCTGCGCTCTTCATTCCTCCATTTCAACTGCAGCTGCTCTTAAAGGGCCCTGGCTTGGGGATGAGTTTCTCTCCCAGCCCCTGCTACCTTCTTGCTCCATTTAAATCACCTCCAATATCAAGCAGCACTCACCTGCCCATCCTCCCAGCCCTCGCTTGCTCGTTGCTTAGCCAGTTAATGTTTCCCCTTTGCAGCTCATCCGGTTTTAAACCAATTGGATTATTTCTTTCATCTCCATAATGTTCTAAATTATTCCTTACTTTCTGGCCTCTCCTGAATTTCCTCTTCCTCCCCCCCGTGTTTCAATCTGTGTGGCAGTCATAAGCAATGCTTCTGGAAATGCGATGTGACGGCTGCTGAATGCAGCATGCAGGGCAGGAGGACAAACCACGGCTGTCCCAGCAGAGCTGGGGCTTAAAGAGGGGACTGTGGGAGAGGGAAGAAGGATCCTCTTCTGGTTGGGTCTCTCGAGTTGAGTTATAAAGTGATTTAGGCACATGCATGCAAGTTTGGGAGGTCAGTGATGCAATAAATATTTTGGGGATTTGCAAAGGAGTCTGACTGGAAACGGCCTTTGGTTTTTCAACAAACTAAGCAAAACTGACTATGAAGGTCCTGAGTTTTACTGATGTTTAGAGCTGAAAGCAAAAAGATGCCACACACCTGCTGGTTTTTCCATGAGGTGTGAGAGGGCAAAAAAAAAGCCGTGTCTTTAAAGTAATTCCATGAAGGCTGTTAAGGAGGAAGGTTCCCAGTCAGAGACAGCGATGTGACCAAATCCCACCATCTTCTGGTGATAATCAGGTGCCTACATGTCACACTTGCCTGTGAAAATCTCTTCCCAGTTGTCTGTGCTTTGAGATGACATTCAAGAACCTACCCTTGCCCAAGGAGCTATTTCTTAAAACTACCAAGGACTTTAAAAGTGGGGTCAGAATTTGTCAACAGTCTCAGCAGACCCCAATTTTTTGTGTTTGCGTGCATATACAGGCTTATTTTCAGAAAAAAAAAGTAAAATATTCCTTTGTCCTCTCTCATTGAGTGTCCATGGTAGTAGTAACTGGCCACAGCTATTCTCCAGATCTCTAGTGGCAGGGTTGGTTCACCAGCATCTCTGCACTGGGGCTGAAAGGTCTGGTATCCACCACTGGAAT